AATTTTTAAAAAGATATTGGGCATTGAACCCATCAGGACTCAAGCAATGTGCTATAGCCTCAGCTCCTTGTATTTGTCTAATTTTAAGACAGGAGCTTGCTAAATTGCCCAAGCTGGCTTCAAACTCACATCATTTGTCCTGCCTCAGCCTCTTGAGTGCTGGGGTTATAGATGTGTACAACCACGCCTGTCTTAGACCATTAATTTTTTTTTTTTGGTACCAGGAATCGAACTCAGAACCTCATGCTCACCAGGCAAGTACTGTGCCACTGAGCTATGTCCCCAGCCCTAGACTGTGCATTTTTGTGTATGCTGAACCAGTGCCTGACCCATGGCCAGTGTTCAGAAAAAATGTATTGAATAAATAGAAGCACTGATGAAGGCACAGTAACGTTAGCACTTTTTCTTAATGTTACACATTCAAAAGAAAGGAAATAGGAAAGATCTGAGTTGAAACTAACAGAGCAAATTGCTAAAACCAAATTTTTTCTTTTTGAGACAGAGTCTCCTTGTATAGTTTAGGCTGGCCTTGAACTCACCTTGAACTCACTGTGTGTCCCAGGCTGGCCTCGATACTCACAGCAATTCTCCTGCCTCTGCCTCCCAAGTGCTGGGATTACAGGCATGTGCCACCATGCCCAGCCTAAATGATTGTTTTTGAGAAAACCAATAAAATTGACAAACCTCTAGCCAACATGGCCAGAGAGGACAAAAAGAGAGAACACAAATTACCAATACTAGGAATGAGAAAGTGAATCTCCCTGGAGATCCCACAAACATTGAAAATAAAGAACAAATGGATGCCAATAACTAAAGCAACTTAGATGAAATGGACAAATTTTTTGAAAAACACGAACTCTAAAGTTCACTAAAGAAGAAATAGATTGTCTGAGTAGGCTTCCATCAGTTAAAAGAAATTGAATTTGTGCTTTAAATCTTTGAAAAAAATTCCAGATGTAATTGGCTTAACTGGGAAAATTTACCAAACATTTGAAGAATAACTAACACCAATCTATGCACATTCTTCCTAAAAATTAAAGATAAGAGAACATATTTTTATTCATTCTATGGGGCCAGCTTGCTGATTCTTAAACCAGTATAAAATGTAAGAAAAAAAACTACACATAAATGTCCCTCATTAACCGGGTGTGGTGGCGTGTGCCTGTAATCCCAGCACTTGAGAGGCTGAGGCAAGAGGATTGCTGTGAGTTCAAGGCCAGCCTGAACTACATAGTGAGACCATGCCTCAAAAAACCCAAAACAAACCAAAACAAGTAAATAAATATCCCTTATGAGATATGTGCAGAAATTGTTTAAATATTCTTAGCAATCAAATCCAGTAATATACAAGAAGAATAATACATCATGTCTAGGTTGGATTTATCCCAGGAATTCAAAGTCGGTTTAACATTTAAAATGCAAACAAGCTAGGTGTGGTGTTGCACACCTGTAATCCCAGCACTTGGGGGACTGAGGCAGAAGGCTCACCAAAAGTTTGAGGCCAGCCTGAGTTGGCCTCAAAGCTAGCCTGAACTGTATAGCGAGACCTGTCTCCAAAAAAATTAATTAATTAATTAAAACTCAATCAATATAGTTCACCATATTAACATACTAAAAAGTAGAAACCATATGACCCAGCTCCATAGATGAAGAAAAAGAAAAAAAGAACTGGACAAGATCTGACATTCATTCCAAATTTAAATAAAAAAAAAAAAAAAAAAAAAAACCCTTCTGCAAACTAATAATTAAGGTAACTGCCTCAGTCAGATAAAATACATCAAAAAAAAATTAGCTGACTATTCTTAATGATGAGAGATTAAATTCTTCAGGAGATCAGGAACCAAAGAAAAGTCTGCACCACCATTTCTATTTAATTGTGCTAGAGGTTCTAGCCAGTGCAAGAAGGAAGAGAAAAAGAAAAGAGATAGTGCATAGAATGGAAAGAAAGAATAATTTAAATCCACCTTTATCATCAAACATTATCATCTGTAAAATCTAATGGAATCTACAAAAAAGCAACTGAAACTACTAAGTGAATCTGAGAAAGTTGTGATAATATTAAAGCAACTATCTTATATACTTTCAAAACTTAAATAATACCTTTCCAGCAGCAAAAACTATGCATTGCCAAGGGACAAACTTGACACAAGATGTGAAAGCCTGGTATACTGAAAACGACAAAACATTCCTAAGGGAAATTTTAAAAGACTGAATTAAATAGATTTACCATGTTCAGGCTCAAGATTGATTTTTCTAAAAGACAGATAATAGGGAACAGAAAGGTCTTCTGTAGATGCAAGGGGACCGGGAGCAGAAGGGAAGGAAGTGGGAAGGGAGGGGAGATGGACAGAGAAAGAATCGGGATGAGTTGTGATCAGTGTGTACTGCAAACATATATTACTAAAAATACATATTTGAAAGAAAAAGCGAAGACAATATTTTTCAACGTCAGCCCTTTACAAATTAATCTATAGATTCAAAGCAATCTCTATAATAATCATAGCAGCTTTTTTTTAAGAATTTGAAAAAGTGATTCTAAAATATACATGGTTAGACAAAGGAATACAATAGTTAAATAAATTGAAATAAATGAACAGGATTGGGGAACTTAAACTTCCTGATTTTGAGACTAATTATAAACTGCTAGGTCAGTGAAGTATTGGTACAAATATGAACAGAGTCCAGAAATAGACCCACACATACATGGTGAAAATGTTTCAACAAAGACACAAAAACAATTCAATAGGGAAAGGTTACTGTCTTCAACAAGTAATAATCATTGCCTTGATTGTGCTTGTAGTTTCATGGGAGTATACATATGTCCAAACTCATACAATTATTTATCCTAAATGTATGTGGTTTGTTTCTTACAAATTATATCTTTAAGAAAAGAAACCTACAAACAAGTAGATGCAACAGTCAGGAGCCACAAGTAGCTATCTGCAGCCCTTCTGCTGTGGCCGGTACTGTGAAGGAACTGAATGACATGAGCTGTTCATGTAATTTTAACCACTTTATATTTAAACAGCCACATAGACAGGGTGGTTCTAGATTAAAGGAGGCGCAGGCAGATGTAAAAACTAAATACTGTCTCAGACCCTAGACTGGATCCTGTCCTGGAAGATGAAAAATACTATAGAGAACATTAGATCAGCTGGCAGGACTAGAATATGGATAGTAGATTAAATAAAAATAGTGTATCAATGTAAATTTGGGAGGTTTATAACTACCATGTGGCTAGGAGAATATCCCTCTTCTTAGGGAACACAGGCTACATTTAAGGGAAAATGACCAGGATGTATTATCGTATCCGCTGACAATTGGCTTAGAAGATGACTAAATGGTCAATCACGTGGAGTAAAATGGTAACAATAGGTGAATTGGGATTAAAAGTGTTATCAGTGGTTCTTATGCTTTGTGTGTGTGTGCATATGTGTGATACTAGGGATTGTACCCCGGACCTTTGCACTGAGCTCTATCCTGTCTTTTTCTTATTTTTTATTTTGAAATAGAGTCTCCCTAAGGTGCCCAGATTAGATTTATTTATTTATTTTTTGTTTTGCTTTGTTTTGTTTTGGTTTGGTTTTTTTCCGGTACCGGGAACTGAACTTACGACCTTGCGCTTGCCAGGCAGGCGCTGTGCTGCTGAGCTAAACCCCCAGCTCCCCCCAGATTAGATTTAAACTTGTGATCCTCCTGCCTCCGCCTCCCAAAGTGCTGGGATTATAGGCATGCTCTGTTATACCTGGCCTCTTGTATGATTTTTATGTTTGCAACTTTTTGTAACTTTCAAAGAGTTTCCAAATAAAACGTTAAGTACCTTTACATGTGAGGGTGGTATTGAAGTTTTATATATATATTTTTAGAAAATAGTCCCTGTCTTTTAAAGATACAGTATGAGATATTTATGAAAAAATGTTACCATGTCTGAGATTGGCCCTAAAGTGATATGGGATTTTTATGGGGGTTGGGGTGTAGAAGAAGAAAAGCAACCGTATATTCTGAAGCCAAATAATGAACACAAGGATTCCCTATATTACCCTTTCCATTTCCTGTATCAGTAAATTTTCCATGACTTTAAGTTGGGAAAAATCGGTATTTTTTATTCATTGTTTTTTCTCTGAAGAATAGTGTATGCTTCTCTTATTTAGTGTGTTTCCTTTGATATAGACTGGGAAAACACATTTACACCAAATTCTTCATTATGGAAATTATGCCCAGAATTCAGATGTTCCCTAAAACAATAAAAATCCTTGTCAAAACAAAGATGTCTTTTAAGATTCCGTCAGTAACTACTTATTTCCAGCAATTTTAAACAATGCATTTAGGTTCTGCTTCAGCAGAAGCCTTTGTTCAGACCTTTCAATGGAACAGTCTCTTTCCATATTTAAAAATGCTTATACAAGTAACATTCCTTTGTAACAAATCCCATGCACTCCTTTCTTTCTGAGTATTTTGGTTTCAATTCGACTATCACCAGATATTACATTCTCGGACTGAATCTTGAGCTGAAAGTTCTGTTTATGTGATAAGGAAGGAGTGTTGAACTTGGTCTATTCGTGTCTTTCTCTCTTAGGCTTTATACTTCCCAGGATGCTTTTGTGTCCTATTTGGCTCAATGTTAGGGGAGCTTGAATGGCGGAGAGTTTGATTTGGGGGAAGGTTTAATTGTTTTAATTGTATTATTTCTTGAGCTAATCTCTCTCCCTAGCCCATAATCCAGCAATTCTAGTTTGAGTAGCTCTTACATCAACCAAGATAAGGAAAGCATGTTCACAAATTAATTGGTTACTTAGATATTGTGTCCTGTGTCAAGAAGATTCTTTTCTAGGCAAATATATCTCTAGACCTGGGAGCAGCTCTATCAAGAGATCGCTTCCTGACATAAGTCTTTGAGGCATGGGTTTTATCTATTTAGAAAAAATGAAGATGAAATGCGTTGTTTTTAGGTGCTAGTTGCATAGCTTTGCTCAACATTTTTCTGATGGTTCTCTTTGCAGAGATAGACTTCTGTGCTTCGCGTAATCACGGGTGTCAGCACGAATGTGTCAACACTGACGAGTCCTACTCTTGCCGCTGCCTGAAAGGCTTTATGCTGAATCCAGACAAGAAGACCTGCAGAAGTAAGTCACACTGGCTGTTGTGGAGGAGAATTGCCCACCAAATGCTCCTCTAGTTTTCCTCTCCTTGCAAATTCTAGGCAGTTTATACCTGTGCTCAGCATTTGTGTTTACTAATATTATTCTTCCTTATATTCTGACTTTTGATTCATTAAATCCTATTGGAGTGTCTTGGTGAGATTGGATAGACTGGGTCTGACCATTGGATTTGTTTAGCTAAGTCAGGCCCAAGCTGAAGTTCTACTTAGTTGAAATGAGGATTTCCTCTTGGTCCTTCTTACCCACTTGAGAAAGGAAAGGCTGGGCCAGAAGTGAGACGTCAAAAGAGCTGGGTTCTTTCAGTCCTACAAGGTAAGACACTTGGTGGCTGCTGAGAGGGGACGGCTGCAGCTCTCTCCTCTTCAATAGGAAGGAAGAAGAAAAATAAGAGTCAGAAGCATCGGAGCAGCACTCCAGGGGTACAAGGCATCGAGGGGGCACTGAGTGACTCAAATAAGTGCCTGTCACTGGCCTTCAAGGGACATGAGCAACAGCCTAGAGCACAGCCCCTAAGTGGGATGTCTTTAAACCAGACTTCCTGAGAGACACCAGCCTGGAGGGCCATGCAGGCAGAGGTGGCTGTCTTGTCCCCATGGCCAGATCAGTAGCTGCGCATGCTTGGTGCACACAGGTGCAGCACAAGTTTGCGGAACGGATGAATGAACGAATGAATGGGTTAGAGAGTCACTCTGAGATGTATTATCCTGGAGAAATTGCAGCTATTATTTGAATTCCTCAGTCTTGTTAGAAAGACGAGCTTTTCAAAGCATATAAACTGAGAAGTTTATTCAGAAAGCCTTCCCACCATCAGGCCATGCTGATGCATGCTGAATTGTTGAGGTCTCCTGACCACGTCACTCGCAGAACTCTCTAGAACTTCCGTTTGGGGTTGCATTTCCCAACCTGCGGCTTCCCAGACTTCTTCCTGGAGATGCAAACTGCAGCATTCCTTGGGGCAGGACCTCGTTTTCAAGGTCTGCACTGCCTACCTCTTCTGCGGATCTTTGAGGGCCGTGTGTGTAACGGAATCCAGATGAGGCGCATTCTGCTCACAACACACATTAACTCGTACCCTCGGACTAAACCTTGATGATGGCAGATGGTTGCAGAGCCCATATTTTGCAGCCAAACCTCTCTTATAAAAGATAATGCCCACTGCCCTGCCTGGGTACAAACCCTGGAGACGTGCAAGCACTAAATGGGAACTTTAACTGAGAGCATTTGAAACGTGAAAACAATTAGAGCATTTTCCATTAGACCACACATGCTTCCAACATGTCAGAGGGCCAATTCTTCTGGCCTGGCCAGGGCCCTCTGGGATGTTTACACCTTTTTCTAGTGGGTGGATCCATAGTTTTCTTGTTCATCACATACATTTATTAGGGTCGCAAGCTTCCTGTGCATCACTGAGGGGGACAGGGGGATAAGCTAGGCAGTGGCCATGGGTGGGGACTTTTCTTGTGGCTCTGAATCTCTTACCAGTCATCTGAGCTCCTCGGCCTCTGCCATGCCTTCCACACCCTGCCTGCAGAGGCACCCGGAGAAGAGACGCCAAGGAGGGAGGCTGAGAACGAGTTTGACCACAGATTGGCCCACAGATAGGCCTGTGCGCAGGCTGTGGCCCTGGCCAGAGCCCCAGTGCTCATTCATGTAGTCTCTGTGGTGATAGCTCTGTTTCCTCCTTAGCCAGGTGCCCTACTTTCTCATCCAGGAAAAATAGAATTTGTTTGAAAAGCCAGTGTCCTCATTAGCCCTTCTCCCACGGTTCCACCCCCTCGTTACATTTTCCATTGTCTTTGTTGAGGGCCCAGCCCCGGACGCCTGAGGTCACCTCTCGGAGCCGCCCCTGACTTAGGCTTGTGCTTGGTCCTCGTGGCAGAGCTGGACCGGAAGTGAATGCTCGTGGTCTCCCTGGAGGGTCACGTGGTGGTGGAGGGGGGCGCACAAAGAACTTAGGCTTCCAGTCCGAGGTTTATTGTTAGGAACCTGAAGTTTCTCAAGGGATCCAAGCATTGTAAATGTTGAGCTGAGCGTACAGCCACTTAGATTTAATAGGAGGCTGATGAATGTGGGCTATTTTCAAAGGTAATAAGAAATGTATCAAAGGAACTTGATGTTATCCAGTTAAACTGGGTGGGTGGGGGGAAGCGCTCTGAAGAAAAACTCTTGGCCAGGGTTCAGTCTGCCTCATCTGGGAGGTTTTTCTTCTGGAGACGGCTGCTGTCTTTGAGGAGATGAATTACAGAGGCCTTGCTGCAGAGCACAAAACCTAGGGCTGGCCTTGCTGTCTAGGTGGAGCCCCGGGCTGAATCAGATGTGGGTGCAGCCCCGGTGCTGGGCTCCAGCGCTCCTGGGAGGGCTTCCTTTCTTTAGCTGAAGAAAACACCCTCTAAAAAGCCAGCCCAAGTCCCCAGGTTGGACTGAGCCAAGAGAGGTGAGGTCCAGTCTGGGCAGTGTCACTCATACTGGCTGTGCCTCCTGAACCAGCGACGTCCTACTTCTCTGCACCTGGCTTTCCTAAATGAAGGGACGGGCCTCTGTGTTTTTTTAATCTGTCCAACTTTGGTGAAACCTACTTGTGGAACCATTCAGGTGGCATTATAGTTCACTGCCTGGGGTCCCTGACATGGTGGGTTGGTAGTCTTACCTTCTCAATCATGTTTCTTAGGCGCTGGCATTGTAAATACTGTTTAATTTGTCATCTGATAGTTCAGTCACATAACTCAGGGTTTCTTGTGTATACTGGGACTTCTCAGACCCAGGTATACTACCGTACAGTTTATGGGGCTCACATAAGCAGATATACAGTGCTGTATCAGCTAGGCTTTACAAGGTAGGATGTATAAGAATAGGATCTACAAGGTAGGCTTATAGTGATCACCTGCAGAGTCAAGGGAGGAAGAATACAAAAGGGCCTTCTACATGCTGGAGATCCAAAGGATCCAGTGGAAAGTCGAAGGCCTGGAGATCACTACAGTGTCCGTGTGAGTCCAAATCAGGAGGCCAGAAGGTCTGTCCTACAAGGCTGAAAAGTCTGTGCTGGGAACCTGGAGACAGATGTCCAAAGGCTGTGGTGAAGACTGGAGCTCCTCTGAAGAAGCAAAAAGTGAGACTTCGCTCTCCTTTCCCTTTTTATTCCATCCAGGCCACTTGCCCATTGGTTGGTACCACCTGCACCGAGGGTGGGTCTTCCATCTTCAGTACGTCAATCATCGGACACACAGAACTGTGCAAAACCAACTGCTAGGCATTTGTATTCAAGCCGGCTCCACAATTAGCTGTCCCAGGTGCCTAGAAAGTACTCAGTGGATATATATTGAATAAATAAACAAGTGAAGAAATGTGTAAACAACACACACGGGACCATGTCTTGTGTGAAGAGAGCCAAGAGCTACCATGCATTCACCATAAAGAATGATACTTTTAAAAATTTTTTTACTTTTTGGTAATAGTAGGGATTCAACCCAGGGCCTTTGGGGCTGGGGATTTAGCTCAGTGGCACAGCACCTGCCTGGCAAGCGTGAGGTTGTGAGTTCAATTCCCGGTACCGGAAAAAAACCAAAAAAAAGAAAAAAAAACCCAGGGCCTGTACCTTCTAGGCAAGCACTCTACCACAGAGCCACATAAAACAGTTTTGAGGAGATAGATGGGTTTAAACTGACTTAACTGAACACAATGTATACATGTATCAAACATGACACGACATCTCATTAATATGCATAAGTTTTGCTTTTTATATACCAGTTACAATAGATTTTTTTTTTTTTTTCCGGTACCAGGAACTGAACTCACAACCTTGCACTTGCCAGGCATGTGCTGTGCCACTGAGCTAAATCCCCAGCCCTACAATAGATTTTAAACTACCGAGAAGAAAAAAATAAGAATCTTTTGGAGAAGGGTCATTTCTGAATTGCTGTTTCCCATGCAGCTGAATGATGGCCTCTAACAATCTGTTTCTCAGCTGAGTGATTTTATACATATTTCTCTTTTTAAAAGGATCTCTTTAAATATTATTTGCTTAAATTGACAAATCAAAATCATTCATGTTGCTTTGAAGTATGTGTGTCTGTAAAGACAGTGCTGACTTTCCATCGTGGTACAATGACATGAAGTTCACCATCTTTTTTTTTTTTGGTACCAGGAATTGAACTCAGGACCTTGTGCTTGCCAGGCAGGCACTTGTGCCACTGAGCTGTATCCCAGGCCCGAAGTTCACTGTCTTAACCATGGTTAAGAGTACAGCGTGGTGACACTGAGCCCATTCACTTCTTCACACAACCACCCCCGCCTACATCCCAGAACTTACTCATCACCCCAGCTGAAGCTCTCTATTTGTGAAACATGGTCCCATTGCCCCTTCTCATCCTGTGGCAGCCAGTCTTCTCTATGGCTCTGAGAACTGGATTATTCTAGTGTTTCTTGTGAGTGGAATCCTACATTTATCCCTTTGTCACCGGTTTGTCTCACGTAACACAATATCTTTACAGTTCAGCTATTTGTAGCAAATGTCAGCCATGTGTCTGCCGTGTCCACAGAAAAGGAACAGTGCAGTGCAGTGCAACTGGTCTGACCCAGACAATTTCTTTCTTTTTTTTACCACCTGAATAATACTCCGCTGTGTGTATACACCACATTTGGTTGATCTGTGCATCCACCAGTGGCCCCTGGGGTGGCTCCCACCTTTCAGCTGTGAATAGTGCTGCTGTGATCTCGGGTTTATATACCTGGGAGTGGAATTCCTGGATCCTGTGGTTAATTTGATATTTCACTTTGGTGGAACCACCATGCTGTCTTCTTCAGTGGCTTTTAAAGACAGAATTTACTGAACGTAATTTCCTCTTTCCCTGGACCTCACGCAGCCCCAGAAAGTTAGTAATACAACACCATAAGCTTGGAAATGTTTTTCGGGCTTGATGACACAGTGCTGGGGCATGGACGGCATAGATACGGTTAACAGCGACTATAGTGACAATGAACGCTGCATGGCAGAGGACAAAGGGCTGACTCTGCCCCCTGAGCCTCAGTCCGATACCCCAGTGTGTCAGACATTAGGGGACGCTGCGCGACTTGGAGAGTGAAACGCAAGGACTGCTGGGAGCCATATTTCAACCTCCACGCATGAGTCCCTGTGAAGACGGCCTTTAGTGTTACTAAGCAGACATGTAACTTCTCTTGCTTAGTGGTTAAACTTGGGCTTGCTTTTCATAAAATAATTTAATAAGTTCAAATATTTTAAAACAGGAAGTTTTGTTACTTACTTACATTTACTCCACTATGTACTTTTATATGGGGCCCAAGACAATCCCTCTGTTCTCACTGTGGCCATGGCAGGCCAAAGGGCTGGACATCCCTGGGTCATGAAATGATTCCCACAGCTCCTGCCCGCTGTGGCCCCAGACAGTGAGCCCCTTGTGCCCTGTGTCTGCCTGTCTGTCTGTGGCCCGTGTGTGGTTGCTAGCTCCGTTTCTCTCTGTGGAGGCTGTTTGCTGGTTTCCTGGCACTTGCTGATGTCCCAGCACAGGTGAGCCTGTTAAGGGGTCCTAACAATATGTCACCTCTCCTCGTGCTGAAGGAATGGGTTCTAAAGACAGTGTCAGGGGCCCAGGACGCAGCCAGGTGACCTTTCTCTCAGGCCAGCCCCTGTGCGCCACAGCTTGTCTTCGTGCGCTGCATCTGCCGCTCCAGGGGCCCGTGGTGAACTTTTCTGTATGGCTTTTCTGGCCAGAACGGGGGCATATTTCACCTCTGGCCCAGTCCCTGAGGAAGGAGAACGTGGTTGCAGGGTTGACTGGCGTGGGCCAGCCATGATTCGTGGCCTGGGGGCCACAGGGCAATGGTTACTGGCCAGACAACCAGTGTCTGCCACTTCCTCAGAAGAAGAACAGCTCGGTGCAGTTAAACTGGTCTGGCCCAGACCGTGAGGTCAGTGGTGACCTTTCCCCCAGCATGGCTCTCACAGAGGCCCTCTGGGAGCTCCTTTCGGTTTCCCGTCCAGCCCTCGGCCTCCCCTGTGACCGGCTGTCGTTTTAGTGTCTTCTACCAGGAAATAAGTCGTTGGTTGCCCGCTGGTAAGGAGGCCGCTTCTGTCTAGCAGCAGAAGCATGCTTTGGATGGGGGTGAGCTTCACGCGTGGCAGAACTGCAGCAACCTGGGGCATCGGCAGAGACTGTCACCTCTGTTTCGCGGTACAGCTGCTGTCATGATCTGAGCAAGGCTAAGCCCTTGGACCCTCCCTGTAACTGCCATTTCCAGACTCCGCTAAATGGCCAGGTAGTTGGCGAGATCAGCTTTGGATTATTCTGCCTCGCGCTGTCGCACGTCACTGTCAGACGTCAGCTTAGACAGAAGCTGCCCACATGCTTTGAGCGCTAGCGATCAGGTCTGCTGGAAGAACAGGCTGGATTTTCTTAGCTTCTCCATCTCTTTTGAAAGGGGGTGGGCTGGGAAGCGTGGGCCTCATCCCAGCTCTCAGCTCTTAGCTGTCAGCTCGTTCAGCTCAGCTCAGCTGCGGGCCTTGACTGGGCCTTTGGCCAGCAGCGGGGAAGGAAAGCAGTGGCAGGGAACCCGGGGCGCACGTCGGGTCCAGACTCTCCTGCGCAAGCCCCCAGAAGCAGGCGCTGCATCTGTGTCCTGCTGAGCACCTTGCTTGCTGAGTGTTCGCTGAGTTTCACGTCTTTCCCTCTCCACTGCAGAACCCTCTTCGAGGCCTTTCCACCTCCGCTGACACTCCCCGGCCTGGCCACCCGCTTATAGCCGTTTTAGCTCCATCCTGCGGCTTACAAGGCCCATGAAACCTTTCCTGCCCAGCCTCATCCGTCCTCTCAGGCCAGCCTTCATCTGCCCCTCTGCCTCCCAAATGTGCCCCCCTTTATCCCCAGGCTTGCGCTGTGCCCATGTCCTTACTCTCTGCTCCCTTGGTCCCCTTTACTTGTCTAACTCTTCTCTTCCGAAGGCCTCTGGCTGGGCATCACCTCTTTGGGGAAGACACCCGGTCCCTGGGCTCAGCGGGGCCCTCCTCTCTGTTTCCTGGTGACCTGGTTCCCTTGTCTCCTCCTCTCCGCAGGGCACAGACCTTATCCCGTCCGACGCATCTACCTGTAGGCCTGGCCTCTGGTTGGCAAAGGAATGAGTGGTCAGCTCCCAGCTCACCTGGGCAGGGAGCAGCGGCAGCTGTCTGCACGGCGCCCTGAGAAGCCTGAGTCTGAAGGAGGCTCTGTCCTTTCTCCCCACAGGAATCAACTACTGTGCGCTGAACAAACCGGGCTGTGAGCATGAATGTGTCAACACGGAGGAGGGCTACTACTGCCGCTGCCGCCGGGGCTACTCCCTGGACCCCAACGGCAGGACCTGCAGCCGTGAGTGCACCCCAGGGCTGTGGGGGCGGATGGACACGGCTCACCTACGGGCCATTCTGGAGCTCCCAGGTTTCCTGCAGATCTGCCTCAGTTTCACCACCCATAAAGGACTGTTAGGTCTACCTGCTTCATGGGTTGGGTTGTGAGGGTTAAAGGAATCCGTGCGTCTGAAATACTTACACTATCTTAATCACAGCCCTCAGTAAATATCAGTATTATTAATCTTAGCTGTGAGAAGCGTGGACCAATCAGGTGGGCCTGAACTCAAGTCTAAACTCTGCCACATTCTGCTCAAGTGCCCTTGGGCAAGTTATTTAACTTCTTTAAGCTTTGATTTCCTATTTAAAAAAGTGAAGATAATATTAATCTTGGTTCTGCAGGGTGATTATAGGAAGTAATTGGGACCATTCCAATCCGTTAGCCTCAGGCCTGGTGCAAGGTAAACATCCCACTTAGGATAATGGCTCACACAGGCGGCCGATGGGGGTGACCAGGGTCTAGGCCCAGGTTGGGACAGGAGGCCGGAAGGGCTGGGCCTCAGAAGCAGCAGCCCCCGGGCTGATCTGAGGACAGAACTGAGCAGTGGGGTTTTGTAAAGCCTTTTCTTCATATCCTTGTGTCAGAGCCCACAGAGCCCATCCGTGATGTAAACACATGGGAACTCGCAGGCCCTGCCAGCTGGCTGGTCCTGTCGTGTTTTATGAGACACAAACTCCATGGCCCAGGCCAGCGGGGTGGGAGCACACAGACGCTGCGCTGGCTCCCTGTGACCGCGTTACTCGGCGCTGGGGCTCGGTGACATGGCCCTCAGAGAAGAGGCCCTTTGTGTGGCTTTCTGCTAGCAAGCGCACATCTGCTCCAGCGCTGGAGACGGAGATGGACTGAGGAGAATGGTGCAGCTGTTGAGCATTTGGACGCTACATTGCCAGGAAGGGGGGCAGTTTCACAGCTGGAGCATGAGGTCCAGCGCTTTCCTCAGGAAAACCCATTCCCCCTCAGCCTGCAGAGGGAACACAGAGCCTTGACGAAAGCCAGGGGCTTTTGGATGAGAAAGCTGGTGAAACATCCGGGCTCTGCTGTGCATTAGCCAATGGGGACCAAGGGGTCTTACATTCAGCAAGGAGGGGGGTCTGATCATGACAAATCCCGGTCAACCCTGCCTTTTTCCAGGAATGTGGTGTCTGCCAGCCACTGGCCCTGGAAAGTGTCCTGGGACAGGCTAGGCATCACTTGACTGGGCCAGCTAGGCCACTGGGGGCCAGGGCCTGCCTGTTTCTCTCCCAGCATTGGGGGCCTGGAGGGGCTCAGGAGCTGGGCTGGAAGACATGGCGACCCTCCACTTTCTCTGCGATCTGGTCAGCTATAAGAAAGTGTAACCCAAGCCACTTCCATCTAGAAGTCCCCAGAGAAAGCCGAGGTTTTCTGCTCCCGCAAAGGGCTCTGGGAGCCCCAGGGCACAATGACAGCAAAGCCTTAGGAGGCACTGAGTCTGTGCAGGAGCTGTGGTGAGCACTTTCCACGACTAACTCTCCTGATCCTCTCAATAGGCCTGTGAGCTCCCTACATTCTTACACCTTTTCAAGAGGGAAAAACAAGAAAATTGTCACTTTCCTGGTAAATGTTCAGGATGTGCGCAGGGGCATGCAGCTCCTGAGGTTCTGCAAGTGTCTGCAGTAGGTTCCTCTATGAGAGAATGTTCTGGAAGGACGGTCCCAGGCCCCAGAGGAGTGAAGCGCTCACTTGGTGGCCCTTGACAAGGCTTTCAGTGTCTTTCCAGTCTCTGGGGCGTACTTTCTCCATCCAGGAGGTCTGAGGCCGCCTGTGGGCTGTCTGTGGGAGCTGTCGGCCACAGCTGTGTGTTCACTGGCCTTCTTCCTCACGGCCCAGGGCCCAGCTGTACAGAGTTTGGGTGCCAGGATGGGCCACACAGCTCGGCCCGGGCCTTGGTTTGTTTTCTGAATCTGGGTGTCCCGATTAGGAGGATTAAAGAGAAATCACATTCTTAAATTTTCAAATTGAAATGAAAATATACAGTGAATCCTTACTCAGCACCACTTGCTCATAACCCTAAGGGTTCATGAAGTGGTTGCCACGTGCCAGCTGCTGTTCTGAACGCTTGCTTTCCGTGTGTTACCGCCTCTGATTCTCACCACACTCCTGTCAGAAAGCGGCCACCAGCGTCATTCCCGTCGCTCAAGTCAGGAGATGTTGAGAAGGCCACAGAAGCGGAGCGACTGCCAGTGTCCACAGCTGGGACGTGGTAGAGACAGAATTTAGACCAGGCACCCCATCCTTGAGCACCACGCTCTGTGATATGCAAATCACACTTGCTCTCAGCATCTCTCGATGCTGAGACAGCAGATTCAGCCTGCAGGGCCCTGGCCTGGGGTTCAAAGAGGAGGTGGAAAGAGAAGTAAGCCAGGCTGACTCCCCACGGAGGCCGTGGTGTGCACAGAATGGCACCTTCTCTTCTAAGCAAGCTTTGCTTCCCAGTGCCCTTGGCTGGCAGGGCATCACCCCCTTGCCCCTTGGGTTTACACGTGTGACCCACGCAGGGGTGGACCACTGCGCGCAGGACCACGGCTGTGAGCAGTTGTGCCTGAACACAGAGGAGTCCTTCGTCTGCCAGTGCTCGGAAGGCTTCCTCATCAACGAGGACCTCAAGACCTGCTCTAGTGAGTCCCCTCCGTGCCTTTCTGTTAGGGATGGGCTGGTGACAGGGGTGGGACATGCGGCCCCTGCAGAGTGGCAGCTCAGGCCTGGTGCCCCCTTCCTCTGCTCCAGAGAGACGTGGGCACTCTGCCCAGGGACCGCATGCTCTCAGGGGTGGTGAGCATGATGGCCGCGTGCTCCCCATCCTCCTGGTCCTGGGCCTCACTGACCAGGCCCTGGGGGCCTCACCTGGGTCTTGGCTCTGCAGGGGCGGATTACTGCCTTCTGAGTGACCCTGGGTGTGAATACGCCTGCGTCAACACGGACAGATCCTTCGCCTGCCAGTGCCCTGAGGGCCACGTGCTCCGCAGCGATGGGAAGACCTGTGCAAGTGAGTCCCCTTGTGTTTGAGGTCCTGGGGCCAGCAGGACATGGCTTGGGTGTCCTGTGGGTGCGAGTGCGGCTCTGCTGCCAACATGGACCTTGTCTGTGCCTGGTATCCTCTCTCTGTGCTGGGCCCAGCCCGTGGGGACACCTGTGACTGTCTCTTAGCCGTTTGAGCCCCTATGGCTGCTTTCCTTCTGCCTCCAAGCTTCCCCGTCACTTCCAGAAACGGCCTTGGCTGTTTCCACAGATGGCCTCACTGCGGCTGTGGAACTGGACAGAGCCCTCGGTCTTACCACACCGCCCTGCCTCTGATGTGGCTTGTCCTCGCCGGAAGTCCTGTTCGATCCGCTTTGCCACCATGGTGGCTTTGAGAGCAAAGCCCTGCAGAGGCGATGAGGCCCTGTGGGAGGAGTGCCTTTCTCAGGGGAGCGGGTTAATTCTTGAGGGAGGGTAGGTGATGGAGAGAACAGGTTGTTGGAAAGCCAAACGTGTCCCCTCTGTCCCTTCCACTCGAACACTCTCTCTCACTGTGTGCTGTTCCACAACAAGACAAATGCAAACGAGGCCCTTGCTTGGTGCTGCTCTGGGGCCTACCAGCCTCTAAAAGCGGGACTTCCTGAACCTGTGTTCTAAGTCAGCCAAACTGCCCTATTCAGTTGCTTGGTTAGTTGGTTAGTTTGAAACAGGGTCTCACTATGTAGTTCAAACTGGCCTTGAACTCACTGGGTAGCCCAGGCCAGCCTTGAACTTTTGGCCATCCTCCTGCCTCAGCCTCCCAAGTGCTGGGATTACAGGTGTGCGCCACCAGGCCCAGCTGGTGTTCAGTTATATAGCAACAAGAAAAGCACAAAGACGCTCTATCCTCTGCCAGCCAGCAGCCTGTTCATGAATAATAAGGTGCCCCCTTGCTGACACCCGCTGGCTGCATGCTGGGCACTGTGCTAAGCACCAGTGCTGTCACAGATGAGGAGACTGCAGCCCTGATTAAGAGACGGAGGTCACCTGCTACTGAGTGAGGGCTCTCACCATGCGACTCCAGTCCTGCAGGTGAAGTGGTCCTGGGACATCTAGAGTCCACTCCCCGGCCCCTGTTGTCTGTCTCTCAGCACATCCCAGCTTGGCAGGGATGCTGCCTGGTGTGTTTCCTTACAGCTGAGCCTAACTCCTGTCTCCACTAAAAAGAAACAGGCAGAAGGTCCCACACCCCTTTGTCCCTCACTCAAGGGTGCTGCCCTGTTTGCTGGCCTGCCTGCCTGTTTCCAAGTAGCCCAGGGGAGGCTGAGGTGGAAGGACTGCTGCAGGTTCAAGGCCAGCCTGGGCTACATAGTGAATTCAAGGCCCCCCTGAACTACATAATGAGACTGTGTCTCAAAAAAAGTAAAAGATAAAGAAAGGAGAAATAGTTGTCGCAGAAATACCTGCGAGAAGGTATTGGGAATGGAGGGAAAGGACCCAGTGTCACCTTCCCTGTCCTGCTGGTCTTTCCCATTACAGGGCCCAGTTCCTTGGCCACTGACACAGCTGTGGCCACAGGTCCCTCTGTCCACCTGGAGTGCTGTGCGTGCACAGGGGCGGATGAGTGACAGCCCCACAGGGTGTGTCTGCCGCGGTGCCACCTGGGAGAAAATGCTTCCCGGGTGGGGCTGGGTGCTTGGGTCCCACGGCTCAGCAGTGTTACGGCTCGGGTGGCTCCCTGCCCAGCTGCCTCCCCTGGAGCCACACCCTGGGCACCGAGGGCGAGAAGAGGGGGGTGTGCCCAGGCGCTCTGCGCTCACTCACCTGCCTGCCGAAGCAGATGCAGGGCTTGTGGGCTTCATTCTCTGTCATCTCTGACGAGTCCTGCCTTTCCTCTGTCCTCTCCTTTGCTGTGAAAATCAGAAACACAGAGATGGTTGCAGGACCTCTAGCGTCTTCACAGAGCTCTCCAGACACACACGGCCCCTTCCTTCAGTTCCCCGCTCCCACCGTCCTAGCGACGCCTTCCTCCCTGTGAAACGCTGCCCAGTTTCTCATTGAAAGCGTGTCTGTCGCCAGTGGCGCAGTGATGTCATGCATATGAGTAAAGGTCCCACAGTGCAAGTAGAAGTGAATTTTGATGCTCCTCTGTGGTCGGGTCGATACGAGAACCGGGGAGATAATCGGTCAGGTTAGAGTTACACTTGGGAACAGGACATGAAAGCTGTTTCCCGGCCGGGACTCTTCCCCTAATTGAAGACTTTCTGTCTGCTCTGGGATGAGTCAGGCTCGAGACCCGGTTCTGTAATAGTGGGCTTTGTTTTCAGTGTGGCCACAGCTAACTAGGGTTGGGATGTAAGTTCCCCAGCCCTAGGCCCGATGACACAGAGCCGGCTGACATGCCTGTCATACTCCCTCCTCCTCCCCCTCCTCTGTAGCCCAGTCCTGGGTCTTCCCTGAAGCTTTTTGTGCTCCAGCCATAGTGAGGAGTCCTCTATTCTCTGAGTAGGCCCCGCACCTCCAGCCTGTCCTGTGTCCTAGGACAGCCTCTCCATCCCCACTGCCTGCGGAAACTCAGTCCGTCTCCAGTGTCGCTCCTGTGGGGAACTTCTTCCCTCCCCACCTGCTGGGTAGCAGTATCTTTCTCCTGCTGCAGGCTCACCTGGGACTTCTGCCTTCTGTCCAACCTGACCTCACTTTGTGGCTCTCTGCACAAATATGGGACATGGCACTGCAAAATATAAAGAACATGAAAATAGGAGCTCAAAGACCAGATTTAAACCTGGGGCTTCTCCCATGGGCGAGGAACTTTTCTTTCTTTGGGTCCAGTTGCTCATCTGTAAACTGGAAATGATCGTTCCTGCCTGTCTCTCAGGGTCCCTGTGCGGCACAGGGAGAGATATCCATCAGAGCTTTGTGTACCTGTAGAGTAATGTTAACTCTTGTTAGGCTCTCATTATGGTCTTCTCTCCCTATCCTCAGACTCTACCACATGGAGGAGCAGCCTAAGGGAGCTCCCTGCCTTGCTGCCTGGAGACCCATGTCCCAGGGCCAGCACTTCTATCCTTGGAGGAGCCCCAGTGTTATGGCTTGTGTTTAGATGTTCCCCCCAAAGCCTCACGTGGTCATAGGTAGGGCTTTTTCAGAGTGGCTGGATCTAGAATGCATGATGCTGGAATTGATTCATGGTGCAATGCTAGATTCAAGGGCACTAGGATTATGGGTGTGAGTGCTACCCACTGTAAGTAGCCTGAATAGGATATAAGGGACAGAAAGAGCTGTAGTTGTCCCTTGCTGTTTTGCTACCTTTTGCCTACCATGAGCTGTTTTTCCTCTGCTATTCCTTTCTGCCATGCCACCCTGCCTTAGAGCCTTAGAGCCTTAGAGCCAGCCAGTTATAGACTAAAGTCTCTACAAACTGTGAGCTAAATAATCCTTTCCCTTTTAAATTTGAGTGTTGGGTATTTTATCTCAGCATTGATAGAAAAGTAACCAAGACAGAATTTGGTACCAAGACAGAATTTGGTACCAAGAGTGGGGTCATTGCTGTGACTGAATCTGACTATGTGGCTCAGAAGCTTTTGGGACTGGCTTTGGTGAGAGTTTGGAGAGCTTTGGAGATGCTAACTGAAAAAGTAGAGCTACCTGATGCTGTACTTGATCAGAGATTCTGGTCAGAGCTCAGAAGACCAGAAGGCTGACAGAAATTCTGCCAGTAAAACCAGGTCTGGAGATTTCTGCTGGGAAGAAGGACTACACTGGCTGTTGGGCTCCAGATGATGTGTATTTTGCCTTGGCAGAAAGTTTGTCTGCATTTTACATCTGTCCAGAGACTTCACTTGAGACTGAGATTAAGGGCAGCAGACTAATTTGCCAGAAGAAATTTCAAGGCAGTCCAATGTTGAGGCAGTGGCATGGCTACTGTTGGGTCTTTTAGCCAGATTTATATTGAAAATCAAGAGCAAAGAGCCCAGTAGAATGATTAAAAACATTGTGAGTTTGGCCAAAAAGGATGCTCCAGTAAAGTTGAGGCCTACGAAGATGGAACAGAGGAGAAGTTCATCATTGAAGAGATTAGCAAGGAAAAGCTAAGTATTTCAGAAGAGGACAACAGAAAAGATGGCCTGAGGACATCACAAGAACCAGCAGGACTCCAGCTTTTGCAGCCTCAGAGTTGCAAAGGTGAAAGAATTTGCTTTGAGATAAAAGCCCCAGAGCACCATGTTCCAGAATGGCGGTGGCCTACAGAATTTGTTTCTTGAGATTGGGTTCAGGGTGCTCAGTGATCCAGGCACTAAACCTCTACAGCCAAAAGAGGAGAAAGCCTGGCTACTGCTCCAGCTGGTGGCAGACCTTGGCATCATCCATGTAGTGCTGGTTTTAGGTGCATGCAGAATACAAGAGTTGTGGGATCAGAAAGGCTTCCACCCAGATCTCAAAAGAAGACCTGGGAGGCCAGTTAGTATGCTCCTGAGAGGGCAGTGTGTGAAACTGAGTGTGAAGCCAAAGGTGCAGTGGAGACGCCAAAAGTTTGGAGAAGCCAGGAATGTGTATTGTCTGAGGAAAAATGCAAGGAGGAAGCAGAGCCAGCCCAACAGAGAAGCCATGGGCACTACAACAACTGGCAGTGCCATAGTGGTTGAGCCACTCAACTGCTTTGGAGTGCACAACTTGCCACAGATGCAGGGATGCTGGAAGTGGAACTGTGGGATTTAATGTTTGCTCTGTTGGATTTTGGTCTTGCTTTGTTCCCATTCCTTGCTATCCCCATTTGTAACTTTTGGAAAGGAGATGTGTGTCATATGCCATTGAATGTTGGAAGTATTTAACTTCCTTTTCATTTGTGCAATGGCTTGCTGCTAAGAGTTTGCCTTAAATCTCAGTGGAAACTTTGGACTTGGACTTTTTAGCAATGCTGAAACTGTTAAGACTTTGGCAACTCTTGGAGTGGACTAAATGCCTTTTGCATAAAGGGATATGTATGAGTCTTTGGGGGGCTAGGGGCAAAATGTTATGGCTTATGTTTAAATGGCCCCCAAAACCTCATAC